GGCGGCTCAAGATAATAAACATACCAGATGTCCCCCATCCTTTGACCGGCCCTTGCGAGAGTAGCTTAACTTCCGCATCGCAGACGAGCTCCGCTTAATATCAACCATTATAAGAATTTTTTAATTTCCTAAATAGGTAAATTCCACGAAGCGCCTGTTAATAATCGCCTGTTAACAAATTGCGTTATGAGATTTTATTGAAATAACTCTACAAAGGGAATTTTGGAAGTTTTAATTATGATAAAAAGTACCTTCGTAATTAATTTTAATAAATCAAAGTTAACGAGATTCCAATTAGTTAAACATGAACAGGAAAAACAAACATAATTGAGTTTCAGGATCCATAATAAAATTATTAGATTAATAATTTAAAAAAAATATATTAAAATTTATAACTGAAGAAAACAATATTTTTGAAATAACCTTTTTGTAAGAAATCTGCAGCACATCAACATTGTGATGAATGTTATGGCAAAAAGATATTGTGATGGCGTCCATATGTTGGAATTACTTAGGTCACTGGCTTCCAAAGTTGATTAGGCTCGTTTTGGTCAATCTGAGCAAACTTTCCAATCTTGGGACCCATCTCTTAGTTGTTTTAAAGAAAAAGAGGACATAAAGTTATATCTAACACAGTGATGAATCGTTCATTAGGACTAACTCAATAATAGTTCGCGACAGACAACACTGACGGATTTTTATTTTATTTTCGTAAGTATTGATACTACTTACGTAAATAATTGTAGACTATACTGATGAACTATACTAACGGACAATGCTGGTGGAAAGTACTAATGGATAATACTGACTGACAATAGAATACTGACGCATAAGACTGATGAACAACACCGACGGAAAACACTGACGGATAATACTGACAGATGATGCTGATCATAAGAAAAGTTGAAAACGCGTTCGGTAATATTTAACCTTTCTCGTGATCTTTATTAGATTTAATAGTATAAATTCAGTAATTTCCTTCTTTTAAATTTGACTTTCTATATAACTTCAACTTAATAAGGTGGCTCATACCAACACTCCAATTATAAAACATTCCATCGCTCCTAATTAGAAATCCTGAATTTTCTGACGTTAGCTTTGCGGTTTTTAGACATTCGCACTTAAAATCTTCGTATTAAAGTCTATTATGTTACGACAAACCGATTTGAATTTTTATACCATAAAAAATCTAAAATGAGTTTGAGGAAGTACAGAGGTCCTTGAGAAAGTAATTAAATGGGGTTTCATTTAATGAGAGGTGTCTGTCACCTTTGCGTTTTAATGAAAGTAGTTTTTGTATTAATAATAAATGTTTAATTAATTTATTAATTAACAAATATTCAACACCCGGTTACAATAACGACTGTAATCTACCGAATGTCATTGAAAATTTGTATTGGTTTGTATTAATTAAAGCGACACAATGTCGCTTTAATTAGTAACAGTTTTAACGGAACCGTGAGCAACTGGGAGATTAGTTTATGTAGTTTTATAAAATAAATAGTAACTAGTTATACTGTTATATTATCCGATCGAATGTTATTGGCTAGATCTTATAAGGAATATTTAATATTCTAGACAAATTAGTGCCCTTTAAATTATTTAAGTAAGTTCATTCATTAATTCATTCATCTAATACTACTATAGATTATTATCAACGTATTTTCACCTTAACTGAAAGTTTAAAATATATTGTAAGAATATTTCAGTCTTTTAATTATCATTACACAAATCATACTATAACAAGGCTCTGTAGCGAAGTGAATGAAGGACAAAGACACTTTTTGATTTATAATTTTAATATAAATTTATTAATATCAACTGACAGAGCTTTCTGTACCCTTCAGACAAGCTTCTATTAATATATCGGGTTACCATCAGTATGGAGATATAAATATACTAGAAGTGATTTTAAGGATTTTTTAATCACCCCTCCCACTTAGTTATACATGGTGAGGTTTAAGACTAAATAATTACGTGTATTTTTTAGTGCCTACAAAGTAATCTTAATTTTCGACGCCCTCGTGATATTTCGTGATTTTTGACGAACCTCATCCCCCACTATCGAGCCTCACGTGATTAATGGACGGCCCAAAAACTGTTTCCAGAGTAGTGACCACATTTTTCCGAATTTAGCTCTTCAATAAGAAGGATAAACTAGTAAATCACTAATAAAGATTTCTGTAGACGATTATTAGATTAAAATTAAGCATTTCCAAAGCTGCCATTTCGGTTGATTAGGGACGCTGCAATCCAATTTTGATCATCATCATCAGCTCTATTACGTTCCAATTGCAGGGGCTCAAGCCTTCGTTATGGATGGTTAAGAAGGATGGTCTAATACTCTCCAAGCTGGCCCAATGCGGATTGGAGGGTATTAACGACTGTGAATTAACGAAACAACGGCTTAACGTGCCTTTCGAAGTACGGAATAGCTCAAGATAATAATTTTTTGGTCACCCATCCCGCGATCGACCCATGTGAAAGACGCTTAACAACGAAGATTGCGGGCCACGGCCTTGATTCATTGCGTCAACAAGCTATTCTGTCAATTTTGATAGTATTTAATATTTCACAACTCTAATTACAAGATTATAAAATTTCAAATCTATTAAGGTTAAGATATAGAAGGGCGCTTCTTTGACTACTTATATATCTGAAACCACCACAAAGAGGTTGACGAGGTTAGCGCAGCCTATGTGATTCACTGATGCATCCTGCATTCTCCCTTTGTGTTCAGCGACGAGTTTTCGCTGTGATACTAAAAGCTGAATTCTTTTTCCTTACGCGTTCACAGATTTCGCTCACATAATTTTTCTAGAAATGGATTTAAATATAACATAATTTCGTGTAAAAGTTTTTGAAAAACAATATAGTGTTTGTATACGATACTTGTTGTTTGTTGTGACGTCGTTAGCGTAAATTATAGCCTATGCAATTTACAAAATAGTTATGTGAATGAGCATGTCAACTTGATAACTTATATTTTTTGAGTCGGTTAAAAGTTACTCTGGTTCTTTTATTTGCCCGACGGCAAAGGAAAAGGGGTAAACAAAGATGGCAGACAAGTCAAACAAACCTAAACGCACTTCACACACGGGGACCCGAACTGGACTTTGTTTATTTGAGTTCAACTTGAATTTGTTTGCACTTTTTGTTTCATAAACATCACTGAAACAATATAACTAAACAACATACTTGGGATAGTGGCTAATTTTGTACCTCTCTTTCTGTTTGTATTGACAAAACAAAGATAGGGAACAAATATTTGAAGCCCTCGTATTATGGAGTATCTGAGACAATAAAGGTACCACAACACCCAGACCCAGACATTAAAGAAAAGTTCATATTCTACATTGACCCGACTTTAGAGGAAGTAATACCGTGAAACCAACGTGCGAACCACTCTGCTACTGAGGTCGTCAAGTCACTAGACATTAGTGAGTTATTTCACTAGATATTACCATGAAATTCAATACCCTTCATAGGAAATTGATTATGGGTTCAGGTACAATATTATCATGTCACGTATATGTACCCTTGTCGTACCCTGTTTGTGCCTCTGTTGAACTATATTCCCTGAAGTACCAACTGAATGACACTAATAACAACTTAGTCCCTATGATTAAGATAACTATGCTAAACTGGGGTACCAACATTCATCCCTTAGGGACTGGCCTCTGAATTGTAACTTTAAAGGAGGAGTAACGAGCATAATCGGATCAATTCGACTACAAAATTAATAGAAGCCGATTAATCAATAGTTTGCGACGTAATTTAGAAGCCAGCAACAATTTTTATTGTCTGGTTTAGGGCGTTTAATTAAATAATTTTAGTCAGTTATAGCGAGTAAATAACTTTATCATTAGTAAAAAATATTATTTTCTCTGTCAAATTTCATGTGATATGTTTGAAAAAAATAAGAGTTCTGAAGACCTGTTTGTAGTAGGAAGGATCTAGTAAAAAGTTTGTAGTAGGAAGGATCTAGTAAAGACACACATCTCTCCTTTTGGTCGAATATAAAACTCAATAAGTAAATTATTTACATAAGCAAATGTTTGAAAGAACGACGCGAGTGGAACAATCATACTCATTAGTTTGTTTATACTTTAGTTTTTATATTTTTACACATAATTAGGAAATTTGTTCTTTTTCAATACGTTTTTTTTTCTTTGCGTTTTTATTTCCATATTAGTCATCTTCTACAAAATGAGATAAATAATAATATATATGTCGATGAGAGTAAAGAAAATTGTATTTTTCATTGCCGTTTTTAATAACTGCGACATACCTTTTAACTTAGAATTTAGAAAATTGTAAATCATGAGCTTGTCGGCAAACCACTGTAAATGGAAGACATATTTTATAACTTAGAGCTCGAAGAGTGTGAGTTGCCACCAAAGAATTTTGAAGTCAGCATAATTTTAAAGAAATGGCATTATGAACGCTTGTCTACGAAATTGAAAAAAGTATGGTTACATTATTTTTACAAAACTAAATTTAAATACATTTTGCAGTCCTTCAGTTTCTCAATTATATTTATTTTGTTTTCTAAAAACTCCTCAATCAAAAAGTTCGTATTATACTAGTCAAAAAGAAGTACCCAGTACTATACAATTATCTATCACAGTTTGACAATACTTAACACAAGGTATATTGGAACACGTTTTTTACCAGCTTTATGTTTTAGATATTCCATTTATATTTTTTTTATATATTACCATATATATATATATATATATATTGATAAATAGATTATTTATTTTCTTCCACTATTAATTTAAGCTCTAAAGTCCATAATATCTGATGATCTGTTCACACAAGCTATACAACACAGCAGACTTACAGTTTCTATTTTTATTACCTAAATAATATTCGATTTGTCATCTTGTTTTTCGATAATACTAACTCAAAAATGCCAGAATACCATCACATTCAAACCGAAAGGAACACCAAAACATCAATCACTTTCAACGTTATTCACCCAAAATTCATTGTCATCACTTACGTCCCACTATTTTTGCTAAATTACTGAAGTCAGGCCAGCTTTCTTCGTTATCATTAGATGTGAAATTTCTGTCAGAACGCATGTCTTTAAAATTCTGTACCGTAGGTAATTCTGGCTTAGTTTCTTCAATTCTCATATCTCCTCTATTAATCTTTTGATATTTTACAACCAGCTCCAGAATTTCATGTTGCATCTTTAATCTCAATTCACTTGTTAAATTTCTCATTGCGTTCCCAATATACTGTCCAAAGACGAAATCTTCACTTACTTCATGTGTCAGAAATTCTTGTCCGAGTTGTGTTAAAATATCCCTGACTAGATTCGTAGCAGGAACGCTATTACTATTGGTATTATTAGTTTGTTTTGGAGTGTGTTTCCATTGGGACTTGTCATATTTGGGCCGGACAGGTGGTGGGCCTACGGCTACTGATACCACTTCATCATTTTCCATGTCATCTTCATCCAGCGGTTTAAGATGACCCGACGGCTGTAAATTAAAAGGACCCTTCAAGATTTTTTTTTAATAAATATTTTTTTTAATTATTATTTTATTGATGATTTTTATTCTAAAATACATGGTATACAAAATAAATAGTAAGATGATCGAATCAAATTAAATCATCTTATACCTGAAATGGCGTTATCTTTAGCGTTTACTTTTTGATAAATTCGATAAATACATACTTTTTTTCTTAGTTCTCGTGGTTTTGGTGTGCTCATTCGTTTTTTGTGATCATTGTTTTGTGGTAGCATATGTCTTTTGGCGTGATAGTGGAGACCGCCTCGATATCCCGCTCGATAGTCTTCTAAAGATGACTTTCTTAATCCCTATAAAAATAAATATAACAGTAAAGGGAAAAATAATCTTAAGTATCTTAAATAAGAGATCAAAACTTTTGTGGTTATATTGTTACGGAGCACAGTGGCGTGGGTCGTCTACGCATTACTAGATGGCGTTATGCGCCAAATGAATACGCGCTAACACTGTTAAAACTATTTGTGTCATATAGGCATACATCAGGTCGGCAAGAAAGGCACAGTCACTGGGGAATGTTTTAGGTTCTAAACTAGAATATTCTATCTGTCTGTGGTATCGGCCTCTATGTTTAGCGTATTTACGCAATGGACTATCCGTCCCGGCATTCGTCAAAGAACAAGCGGACGCGGTGAACCGTCCAATAGTGTTGTGAAGTGTTATTAGTGACGCGAAATAGTGAAATTGAAGGGTGAATTTTATAGTTCGATTATTTTTGTAATTGTATTGTGGTAAATATAGCCGGATTGTGAATATTTATTATGGCGTTAATTTTTATCTCGAACTCTAAGTCGTACCAATATTAATAGCGTAGCAATTTAAAACATTATTTTGGTTTGAAGATACCTCTATACCTTCTTACAAAACATTTTTATTCAAAGATAACTTTTTTAATATAAGACTATTATCTATTAATATCTATCTATTAACGTGACTGGAGAGCACTCCAATCTTTGTCCAAACGAAACCTAATTAGTTGTGACACAACTACTTAATTTTATTGGAACCTATTAGAAAAGGCCTGGCATACTAATTAAGTGAATCCAATCAAGTTGAGTAATTAACATTTTCTTTGATATATATTTTACTAGTGGACGCCCGCGACTTCGTCCGCGTGGAAGTCGGTATCCCGTGGGAGTGAGAAGTTTTCCCAGTAAAAAGTACCCTATGTGTTATTCTGATGTATAACCTATATTGCTGTAAAGTTTTATCCAAATCCGTCCAGTAGTTTTTTCGTGAAAGAGTAACAAACATCCATACATCCATACTTACAAACTTTCGCCTTTATAATATTAATAGGATAGGACTTACCGTGACAATTGGCAGGAAAATAACCATCAAGACTGACCAGAATTTTAAGTCCATAGTTATCCGAGTGCAAACGACAACTGCTCTCGTTTGCAGTTATCAGACATAAGAAAGGCATTCGAAGTATTACTTATTTACAAAATAAAAATGGTGTGAATCTTTGCGTCCTATTGTGAAAGATGAATAAACAAACGTGGGAATAAGAAACATTTCAGTCTTCATTTCGTCAATGGTTAATTTCATAGAATTTAATGAAAAAGATTGGATTTTATGAAAAGAGGGGATTCTTTGGATAATTTGTTGATCTTCAGCCATAGGCATGAAAAGGCTTCGGCTTCGTTCAAAGACAGTAATGTGCCTATTAACAGAAGCACTTATAATCGAACACCGATTTCATAAATTACCCGATCCAAAACATCTGTTTAAAATGTAAAACCATAAAACGCTAATGGAATTTACAGAAAACATTAAACTTTTAAGTGGGATCATTTGTATTCTCAGCGTATTTCGCACCAACCAGTTGTGCTGACCTCTGCATTCGTGGAGTATGGGATATTTTACTTCCGTGTATCCGTACGCAGACGGGGGTTGGTAGGTCAGATGAATCCGGTGGTATCATACATGGCGACGCAACGACGAAGTTCGTACGTTGGAAACAACTCCTTTCGCGATTTAATTAGATCCAGTCCTTAATTGAAAATATGTTCGAGCATTAAATACGCAAATAAATGGCATGTTTACGTGTACAGCTAGCAGAGAATTGGAAAGATCTTGCCAATTTTATGTAAGTCATTATTTGTTTTATGACCAATGATGACCTTATTTTTGTTAACTGTGAGAAGAAAGTATATTTCTTGTTTTGTCTAAACTTTAAAAGGTACATCTATATATACGTGAAGCAAAAACTTTGGACCCTATTTTACGACAATTGAGAGGACGGAGGAGTATGAAATTTGGCACACTTATAGTTTATATGAAACGGCTTATATTTTTTAATAATAATGCTTATAAAGTACATTAAATCGATAAAACATTACACACACTACTGTGCATTTGACACACACAAACAAGTATTTGCTAAAGATGTACAAATTGTTTTGGCTTCGCACGGTTTGTGCATTAAGCCAGTGTCAAGTTTTATATGTTTATTATAGACATCTATTTATGTCTATAAAAAACATATAAAACCAGTGCACTCATTGCATCTATATAATCAATACATATATTTAATTGTTAGGTTTAATTATTATATTTGATTAATTCATTCACAATGCTGTATTGGAAAATATCTCAGAGTACCTAGGCTGGTCTAGGTACTCTGAGATATTAAAAATAATAAATTTTTAATATAATTGGAACTTTATACTGTATAATTAAAGGCGAACTTTAATGGTTACACATAGCACGGCAATTAATCAGCTGATTTCACACTCTAGCCTACATACATTACAGTTTAAAACCAAGTGTACAAATTTGATATATTGATTGCGATTTGTATAGTCAGTCTGACGTGCCGTTGACTGTACTATAATAAGTTTTTTTTTTTATTATTATTTGGCTTGCACTGTTTGTGCTTAGCCATTGTCAAAGTTTGGGAAACGGAAACGAAAGGAAATAAAAGTTGGAACGGATTTTTTATGGTATAGATTCAGGAGGCTTAGGAATTAGGAGAAGGAAGATATATTTACACAATTTTATAATACATATATAGAATAGGTTAGAGTTTAATATTATTGAAAATTATATATGATACTATGCAATTATAAATGGATAGGTTATTAGTGGATAGTAATATAATAAGATTAGTTTACTTTTGTTGCATATAGAATAGAATTTAGTCAGTTTGTGCCACTAGAATAGGAAATATACTTTTGATTCAAATAAAGATATTTTTTTATTGTATATAAAGTATTTTTTTACGCACGTATTATTTTTTTATTTTATATAATTTGATTTTGAATAAGAAAATAATTATTGAAAAGCGCATAAAATAGGTTGAAAAATAAAATTGAGTTAAATGCAACACCATTGATCGGAACGAATTGTGACGTCACTGACCATAATAAAATTGTCTACCAGTGCGTAGATGATGGTAATGATGTAAATTGTCATTTAAAAATATAAAAAAATCCATTGTGTATTCCTATGTTAGCAACATTGTTTGTAGTTACTTTTTTTGCACTCCGTACTCGTCTATTTCGCCCCATCATATTGTGTTCCAGTAATATTTCGTTATATAGCGGCACGCTTATGTTGGCTCCTCATAAAACGGTCTTTACAGGAATAATGACTTTAGTTAATTTAATAAAGCTCCATAAATGCGGTCTCGGTGCCTAAAAGATTTAGCTGGAACGTTTGCTTCGCAGCGCAATGTTAGGCGCAAATTACCTTCTTACGAAAAATATATTAAAAAAATATTAAAATTCTCTTTTTTTAGGATTCCGCACCCAAAGTAAAACGGGACTCAATTACTGAGACTCCTTCATCCAGAAATTTTCACGGATGTTGCCGCTACAATGACAAATACTAAAAGTATCAAAAAATAAACATTTTAGGGAGTCCCATACAATAAACGTGACTTTATTTTATTTTTATATTTCAGCGTAAGTGATTTTTTTTTATCTAAAATATACTTTATGTATCTATCTGATAATGTCGTTTTGTATTGCTTAGTCATTTTTAAAATAGAGCCTATAATTTTTGAGTAAATCTATTGCAAACAATCGAAGAAACAAATACAATCTTTCCTATTTTTAATGTTAGTATAGATGAAAGTCATTTGAAATCGAAAGCCACTTAATGTAACCAAGTTAAAAAAATATCAACCATACTGTAAACGTTTTATAATTCTATAAATTGATGTCGCAATCGCTTTACTACTATAAGAGATTGCGATCACCACTAGACCTTTTACGTCCCCACTGCAGGGGCTCAGGCCTTCCTTATGGATGGTTAAGGAGGCTGGGCCATGACCCTCCACGCTGGCCCAATGCGGATTGGAGGGTAATAACGACTGCAAATGCAGCCGGGACCAACGGCTTAACGTGCCTTCCGAAGCACGGTAGTTCGAGATAGTAATTTTTTGGTCACCCATCCCGTGACCGTCCCTTGCGAAAGTTGCTTAACGACTACGATCGCGGGTCGCGGCACTTATCCACTATGCCACCGAGCTACACGATTGCAGAGAAGAGATTGCGATAGATTTATAAAATTAGACAATTAGCCCACGGGTCAGTTAATGCGAGAGACAGATTAAAAAAAAATTACGTTGTGAAATAATGTCAAAAATCTTGCGACAATTGTCTTCTATAAATTGTAATATATAAAATTCTCGTAAAATTCACAATTTTGGTCACCATATAATACTTTTCCAAAACGGCTACACATATTTTGATGATATATTATGTGTATATTCATTAGTTTTGAGAATAGGTTGTTATCTTTTTTATACCCCAGGTGATAAGGGTGGCCCAACTCAAAGGGACCGTCCATTAATCACGTGATGTTTTTTTTGGATTTTTTTAACTTCCCCTCCCCTAAAGTGATACATGGTGAGGTTTAAGACTACCCCCCCCCCCTCCCCATATATCACGTGTATTTTTAGTACTTACAATGAATCTTAATTTTCTAATTCTATTATAGACAATTAAAGAGTACAATAATGTCTAGAGGTAGACAGAAAGTTTACAGGACTTGCAGGTTGTTTTTGATTGACAAAAATAATGAAAGGAATGCGAAAAACTTTATGAATATTATTATTTGATGAACGTTTGACGAAAAAATAATTTTATTACACTTATATACGCCGCTTTTCGGTTGAGTATCGCGCGTTTGTCGAAAAAATAAATACACGTGATATGTTACTTCACCCCGCCTCCCCCTTGTGATATTTCGTGACTTTTTTATGGACCCCTCCCCCCCTTTCGAGCCTCACGTGATTAATGGACAGCCCCAAATTTCAAAACAACGATTTCAAATTGGTAATCTCCTCTCAAATTTGAAGTCTGTTAATAATTATAAACATATTATATGATAACTTTTATTAAGATTTAAGTAGATGTAGCTATCACTTTATTTTTCTTTACATTCATTATCAGATTTCCAAACTACACGAGCGTTTGTAATCTAGACGACATTGTAACGTTGCTATTATTAGATTATTAGGGCTTTTGTTCCGCAAAACAAAGAGACGGGTACGGACATATTATGAGAAGGGGTGAAAGTAAACAAGGGAGTGATGGAGATTAATCCTGGAGAGCAAGAGGAGGACCACAGGAAAATATGAATGGGCTGCGTGTGCTAACAGAGGAGAGTGGAAGAAAAGCACACAATGCGTCGACTCTACATAGACTGGGAGCAGAGAAGGAAGATGATACTTAGCTTATACGTTTTGCGGTACACAAAATAAAAATAATAATTCTTTATTCATGCAAAAAAATAATATAAAAATACAATTGAACAGTTGGTATGCAGTAATGGGTCTTAATGTTGATTGTTACATAAGGCAATTATTATAGAAGATATAAGTCACAACTGACCCTAAAAGATTAAACAAATAATCGGTATTTAGGGATTGAGTCCCTTTCCCTATCTTCACTTTAGTAAGAGCACTTATTACATCATGATTGAGAGTTACAAATTTATCAATTAACCAGCATTGTTCATTTAAAATCAGATAGTTTGGTGTGTGTGTGTGTGTGTGTTTGTATGTGAGTGTAATATTATGTCAGGATATAACTGATAGAAGTTAATCCGTTTCCTCATATGTGCTCCCGAGTAACCAACTTTAGATTAATTTCTTACAGCATGAATATGGTAGATTGTGATCTTGTAAAATTTTATCGATTTTATTATATAAGTATGGATCGAGAAATATAATAAAAAAGCTCATACTATTTTTATAATGGATTGTATTTTTCGTAAATAAATCTCTCTTTCTCATTTTACCGCGAACGAAACTCATCAAGCCACCAAGTTATTTAACACTTTCATCACAACTTTTTGTTTTCGAATGAAAGTTGTTAAAAGTTGCACAGGGGTCTCGTGGAAAAACAAATTTATTTTCGCTTCGATTAAGAAATTTCGAGTTAGTTGTTCGTATTTTATATAACTGTCTGGAATACTGACACCCGTTTTTATTAACCTTGAACGAGGCATAGCTTAATTAGAAAGCGCCTTATCTTACGAATCGCCTAAGCGAACTAGTTTGATTCTAAGTAAACATTTTTTCTTTTATCAGTTGACACATTTCTGATGTGTCATATTAGCGTAACGCGCCGCATAACGCTTGTCATGACTTTAGACAGTGATAATGTGGTTGTGGTTCCTAGTCATCGATGAAATGCATTTTCCTTAGGCGACGCCTAAATATTTTGAAGAGAGATTTGAGCGACTAACCTAACTTTAGTGAAAACGGCTATTAGTATAAAAATTGATGTCGCAAAATTTGCTTTATTTCATCATTGACAATGTCAACAAATTAGCTTATGACGCGAGCAAAGCGTTATTTGGGCTTTTGTTTTGCTCCACAGGACGGTGAGGAAATAAAAACTTCGAAATTCATTACTTTAACCGCGAAACGGCAGAATACATAGCATTTGATAGAAAACATATCGCTCTAATAATCAAGGAAAAATTTAAAACCGCATTTTAATTATTTTAGGTCCTCACATATGAAATTGGTGTTTGGTATGGGAGTAACAATATTTTTTAATATATTTATTTTGTCAAAGTATAAACCATCTATGCACTTTTGCCACCTCATAGGTAGTTCATTGATCCCCTTACTAAAAAACCCATTCGGACGTGAATCAATATGATCTTTGAAGGCGATTTGCGCTGCCCCATCGAAGTTGAATTTTTCTCTTGCAAGAAGTTATCCAAATTTCGAAAAAAAATGGTAATCTGTTGGAGCAAAGTCCGGAGAGTAATATCTTAGACATTCCAATTGAAGCTCTTCTAATTTGGTAGCCGTCTGTTGTATAGTGTATGGACTAGCGTTGTCGTGAAGTTGTTTAATAGCTAGTTTTTCCAGCATGATTTGCAATTGCTGACAATAGACGTCTGCCGTAATCGTCTGGCCAGATTTGAGAAAACTGTAATGAACGACACCGGCACTAGTCCACCAAACGCTTACAAGTAACTTTTTTGGGGTCAATTTTTCCTTGGGGCAGGATTTAGCTGGCATGCCAGGGTTCAATTATTGCGATGAGTACCTTCGATTATTGCAGAGACTCCACTTTTCATCACAGGTGATGATTCGATTTAAAAACCCTTCATTATTGTGCCGGTTAAGTAATGCAACGCAGCAGTCGCAGCGCGTTTGCCGGTTTGCTTCACTCAATTCGTGAGGTCCCACCTTTCAAGCTTTTTAATCTGTCTAATTTGATTCAAGTGAATTGAAACAGTTTTATCACTAACACCGCAGCCTGCATCTAACTCGGACGTGGTATGCGGTGGATCCGCTTCCACAATAGCCTTCAATTCTTCATTATTAACTTGCGTCTACGGTCGTCCATAGGGCTTGTTATGCAGGTCGAAATTTCCAGAACGAAAACGTTGGAACTAAAAACGCACTGTGTTTTCTTTTGCGACACAACCGCCATACACATCATTAACTCTTCGAGCCGTTTCCGCAGCAATGGTACCACGGTATTTCAAGTTTTCCATTTTTTATACTGGTTGTAAATGGTGGTATAAATTTGAATTTGGAATTCCCAACTAAGGAGGAGAAATTTGTGATTAAAGTGGCCAGTACGTCAAAAAGGCAATTTCAAATGTAAGGACCTAATATCATCGAAAGCCTATTAATGCCCCTTCTGCTGGGGTACAGGCTTTCACTATAGATGGATAGGATCGGATCGGATCGAAATAGAATGAGCATGCGGGTCTAGTGTGGAATGCGGATTGGTCGGTATTAATGACTGCAGATAAAACACCAAGCGCTACACATACCTTCCAATCAGAGCAGCTCAAAATGATAACGTTTTGGTCACCCATCTGTCTGCATGCACCATTGAGCTCTTTTAATTACATTGGCTGTTACATATTTTATTTAAATT